TGGATGGTCAGAAGGTGTGACGGCAATAATGCTCTTGCATCTTTAAGTGAAGCAGTGTGTGTAAAACAGACTGTGATCTTATTAGATTGCAAAGGAGTCAAGATGTTGGTTCATTCATCTTTGTGCAGGAGCAGTATACCACATGTATCATCTGACTACTGTATCTCTCACTGGCATTGTGAATTTTACTTTGGGAAGTTTTAATTAGACTGAGTTTTATTCATTGTCTTTTGCCTTTTTTTTAAAAGATCTATAGCTATGGAGAATTAAGTTCTTTGTAATAGAAGATCAGATATCAAATATAAGTTGATACCGAGAGCGCAGTAAGGTGATACTTTAACACTGGCATGAGTGTGATTCTATCTGTTCACCTTTGAGTTATTTCTAAACCTGTTTTGTTTTCAGCATGGCTTTTGTTGGCAAATACTAACAGAGCATATTGGTATGTTAAGAACAGATTTAGGTCATAGTGTCAGAATAATCTGGTAATAAAATGGAATGTTTTCTTCTTCTTTGATGTGGGAAAAGGCATTTTTGGGCTTTGATAAGGTTGAGGAGCCAATGCATGCATCTGAATTACCATTTTCTTACCAGTTCTTCCCTTTGTTGCAGTTGATGGGCAAATTCACTGGAATTGTATCACTGTTATTTGTGAAGATCTGCAAGGTGTCTTTTCTTCCCGCCTATAATCGGTTTTCTTGATTTAAAGATGTGCCAGCTTTTAGTACAGTTTCTTTGTTCATCCAGATACTGATAAAGGATCTGCTGCAGATATGAGTGACTGTATTTCATCATTCTGTTGATACTATACAAGCTTTTGTGGTCAGACGCAAATGTTGCAGAGAAGGAAGTAGCCAAATATGGTAGCTTTCAAGAAATATGGGCTATACACAAGGTATAGCTAGTTTCTGGAACATTACAGAAACCCAATAAAAGGAGTTGAACATGCTAAAAGAAGGTTGAACAGCATTTATCTGTGCTCTTGTGTTTACTGATCTTCTGTGTTTCCTTCTTGAATTTGTTAACTGTGTGCCCAGCCTTCCATTTTACTGGAAACAAAATAAGAATTGAAATCAGTGCTACAATAACTCTGAAGGTGTAAACCTGGAATAAAAGTTGTATCAACCTGAGTAAAAATTCTGATAAATTCTGCTTAAAAATAAAAGAACAGGAATTCTTAATGTAGGCACAACCACAGTGTGTGAAGTATTCAGTATATTTTTAATAAATTTATTAGAAAAGTTTGGAAATTTTTGTGGGATGTTTCTATTTTCTTAGTCTCAATAAAATTCTGCATACATTTAATAAATTACTCAGCTGAAACCAGGACACGGTATTCTGCTGTCCAGCCTTTTCTCTTTTATTTCCTTCTTCCCCCTCCCCTGATTTATTCAGACCTTTGTGAGAAGGTGGAATTTTTTGTTTCATGAAGGAAGAACATGTTTTCTGCAGCTGGGAAGAAAAGTAGCTTTTCTTTCAAAATACTTGAAAGCAGCTGTCAGACATAGATTCTGTTCAACATTGCTTTTTGTTTGGGCTTTGCATTAGGAGGTGAGAGCCCAGCTTCTTCATTTATCAAATTTCCTTATCCAGCAACTGAATTTAGGTGAGAGATGGCAGCATTATTATGTTAAGAAGTCATTAATTTTAGACTGTCTGTTGTTTGTCTAGGTTTTCAGCCCGTTTCTTGGTAAAGATGGCAGCCAACAATGCAGTGCTGAACAGACTGGAGCAGAAGGGTGCAGAGGCCGATCAAGTTATTGAATACCTCAAGCAACAAGTTGCTCTGCTCAAGGAGAAAGCTAGTAAGGAATTACCTATCTTATGATAAACTCATTAACCAGATGGTTAACATTAACTCCTTGTAGAAAAAAATGAGAACATGGACAACTTCACTGATGTTGTCAGCCTTATAAGTGTGATTCAAGATCTCCAAGATAAAGATTGTAACAGTAGCACTACTTCACTTTCTAGTGGTTTGTGGGGTTTTTTTGAAGCTGCTTATTCTGAAGTTGAAAAGGCATGAATGAGGAAGGATTAATGACACAAACAGATAATGCAAATTCAGTAGGACACAGTTCTACCTGGGGGGAGAAAGGGAGTCAGGAGCAGTGTGAGGCTGTGCATTTACCTGAATGTGTTACTGCTTTTTCACCACTGGGTTTCTCTCAAGAGTCTCATACGTTCAACTTTTATATTGGTATCAATGAATTAAGGTGCTCTGTATTATAAACATGAACAAGCTTTTTCAAAGAGGGTTCTTGTGAGTCTGTTTAGGGGTCTGAGAAGCTAGTATATTGAGAGGCAATGTGAGTACATAAGTATTGTAAAAAAATGGCTATTTCAACAAAAAAGGATTACAAAATATCTCTGATTACATACTCCTTGAAAGCTTCCACTTTTTTGTTTTGCTCACTGTGTTTCACTTTTCTTTAAAAAAAAACAACAACCAAACCTCTGTTTGCCAAATTATGAACCCTAATGATTGAACCCTAATGATTGAACCCTAATGAATGATTGAAACCTCTAGTCTTGCAGGCATCTCTCCGAGAAGAGAAGAAGCTCCGTGTGGAAAATGCTAAACTGAAGAAAGAAATTGAAGGGCTGAAACAGGAGCTGATCCAGGCAGAAATTCGAAATGGAGGTGGGGGAAGAGTCCTATCTTCATCCAACATAGATCTACTTAGCACAAAATATGATCTGAACTGTCTTGATTTTTATCTTTCTCTATGTGACTCTGTGGTATTTCTTACAAATTCTGGATTTTCCTAGGTTCCATGCCTATGACAAGTTACTCAATTCCAACATTTTATTACGTGCAAGACTAACATGCTGGACCTTAATCAGACATGGAACTGCTTCTCTGTATGATTTTGTACAATGACTTTCATAATTAGCCATGAATTTGACTGATGGCAGTGACTCCTTATAGTACCTTAGATTGCTGAATGTCTAACACTTTGTGATGCTCGCAAGGTTTTAATCTGTCATGACTGAAAAATCCCTATGGAAAATCAAGCCATAGTTCAAAGTACAGATAGGCAGTGACTTATTAGAAAATCTGTGGTAATGTAAAATTAGAAACAATGTGTTTTGAATTGTTGATTTCATGCTTTAGTAAGACCAGCCGTTCATTGCACTTTTTCCTTCTTTGCACTCCTCTGTGTAGCTCTGTTCATCTTGCACCATCTTTATATAATTTGTAGTAAAAAGAAAGGAGAAAAAAACAAAACTGAAGTGTTTCAGATCCTGCATGTTTTGTTTAAAATTATTTTCAAAGAAAGCCTCTTCTGCCAGCAACAGCTATTACTATTTTTACCCATGCTGTCAGAGATAGTATCCAATTTAGCTGGATCCTAGCTTTCAACTGTATTGAATGTTTTTTCTGGTAAAACAACGCGTTCCGTTTTCAGAGAGATTAGCATTATATAAATGCAGAGAAATATTTTTCCATTGTCTGGTACTCTGCAGCAATACTTGACAGGTGTAGGATATTTCACAGAATTTGTTATGTTTGAGAGAGGTTTCAAGGATTATTTTTTTTCCAAGATGGGAAACCAGCTTTATTTAGCTGTTTTATCTACAAGGTAATAGGACTAAATTAAGATTTTATTTTTTTTTTAAGTAAATTAGTGTATGCTACTTTGACAGATTTAATAGTTGAACACAGAAATTAGATGAACACAGTCAAAGGCGTTCTTAACTGATCACAATGATCATATATAGATTGAGTTCTGGAATGTGTTTCACAATGTTGTGCTTCACTATTCAGCAGCTGTGATGTAGGTATTTTAAGCAAAATTCTCAGTTCTCTCTACTGTTTCATCTATGTCAGAAACTTTAAATGTTCAAAGTTCTGGTAATCCTTCTAACTTCTGTGGTTTTGATTTTAGTAAAACAGATCGCAGTTCCTCCTGGTACAGCCATTTCTACAGCTTCGGTTTCAGATGATGTTTCACAAACTACAGCAGTCACATCATCTACTGGTTCCAAAGATGAAAATAAAGGTGAAGATGAAGAAAAGAAAAAGAAGGAAAAAGCAGAAAAAAAAGGTAATTAAGTTTTCTTAGCTGTGAGAGACAGTTGAGGCATTTAATTTATGAAAGCATTTTTACATCATTTTGGGTACAGAAAAAAAACAATTTCTACAGCCATAATAGGAAGAGTCATGCACTAGCTCTTAAAACTTGGAAGTACTTGAAGTTAATGAAGGCTGTCTGGTAAGCTGCAGATTCTTAATTACATGGGATACATGCCGAATTTCTTCTAATGTGACTGAGCTCCTTTTTTTTTTTTTTAAACAATAACAAAAAAAAACCTCCCACAAAGCACCCAAATACCTCACAGCAGAAAAAAGCAAAATCAGAATACACACACAAAAGGGGGGGGCGGGAATAAAAAGGGGGAAGGAGGTGGGATGAAGATGAGGATGCAAAACTTAGAGAAGTTTGGCAGACTGGCTTTCTGTTCTGAGGCTTAGTTAGAATTTTTTTCTGCTATGGAAACACTGCAAGCAAAAGGTGAAGATGAGCTCAGCAAAATCTATTGCAAACAGTGGGAGCATAACATAATACTAAAGGAAGAGTGCAAAATTGCCATTTTCTGCAAAAAAAGTATGCAGGTTTTTTTTTGTTTTTTTTTTCTTTGTTTTTTTTAAGGGTTTTGTTGTTGTTAGTTTTGGGTTGTTTTGTTTTTTTTTTTTTTATTATTCCTGGAAAATTCTTACAGGTAGTGAAGTTCCTTTAGATCAAATGCATCCCTGTCATCATTGGTGAAATTGTGTGGCTAAGAGTAAGTGTACTGGGGTAAGCACATAGGCAGATAACATAATCTAGTTTGGTCAACAGGGAGTAAATGTAGGAGAAGGATAGTAGCCTTCCTAACACCTTTCCTCCTCCTTTTCTCTTTTAGCTGTCTGTATTGACTTTTTTTTAACCAACTCTCTTAATAGAAGAAAAGATAGATGTCTGTTACACTTGCACAAAAATACAGATGTCTATCTTTGTGATTTAAACTGATGTTTTGGAATCATTCTCTTAGGCAAGTTATTATTTATTTACTATGAATTGATTTGTACAGCTTTTCACAGTTTGGATATTATGCTGATAGGGTGCTGTGTCTCTGATTTTTCTAGTGAGCTATATGCAGACTTATAAGCTTCTTCGTTTCTTTTGATGTACTGCAGCCTTTGACACATCAATATTCCACAGGGCTGTAAATATAAAAGCAGAGGCCATATGTCATATCAGGCAATTAACTATTTTCTTCAAGTATTCAGTGGCTGCAGAGCAAGCATGTAATTGGTAAGGAAAAATTAAACTTTCTTGTGTTGTTTCCTCTCGTTTTGCATAAGTAGCTTAAATTTGGAAAGCAGTCTGTTTGGCTTTTTCCTTCCAGTGACTGTATTTGGGAAAAGGTGAAATACGGTAAGAACATTAACTAGTAGCCCTACACAGGTTATTTCTGGGCAGTTAAACATCTGTTGTAGGTGTAGTATTTAAAAAAGTAACTAATAAAATTTGTTTTTCAGTCTTGAAATTGATGAAATTATGCACTATCTCAAATCCCTTTGCTTTCTGTCACCCATCTCATATGTTTCCTCTCTGGTTATTCCCATTGTCCTTGTTCAGCTTGCAAACCTCATCTGTGAGGCGTCTCTGGATATTGATCCTGGGCTGATGCCAACACAGGCCAGACAAGTGCTGTTCTCTCCTTAGCCTGCAACACTGAAGTGGATGTTTTCTGCACATCTATACGTATGCTGTGTACAGACATGCTTTGCTCTTTTCCTTATTTTGTGACAGACTACATTTCTCTGAAGTGAAATAAATAGGGTGCTAAAAACTGATTTATTTGGCTCCAGATGATTATCATAGAATCATAGAATGGTTTGGGTTGGAAAGGACCTTAAGATCATCCGGTTCCAATACCCCTGCCGTGGGCAGGGAGACCTCCCATTAGACCAGTTTGCTCAAGGACCTGTCCACCCTGGCCTTGAGGACTTCCTAGGGAGGTTTCTGTCAGCCCATTTCTCCAGCCTGCTCAGTTACCTCTGGAGGGTACCATGGTCCTTTGGCGGGTCAGCCACTCCTCCCAGTTGTGTATTATAGAGAAATGTCATGAAGTGGAGAACAGGGAAGAATGACACCAAGGATAAAGATAGCAGGTCTTTTGAAATTATCTTACAGACATTAATTGTTAAGTATTTTGATGGTATTTTTTCAGTTTCTCTTCAATTATTATGAATATGACTGGTTTTATTAATCTTAATTACATTACAATTTGATTAATAAACACCAGAGCTTTTTATTCGTCGTATATGAACTGAAATGTTTTTAAAGAGCTACCACTTATGTTAATAATAAAAAAGCAGTATTTTTCTGAATGTAGTGTGTAATTTCAAGCTTCTAATAGAGCAAGGATAATGAAAAATTATATGCTGTCCACTTTTTCCTCTTTTGCTCTGTAAGAAAGGGAGTTTAGTTTACGAGTAAGCTGTCTTGCTTAAAGGAATAACAGAATATGCTTATTTTAAGTCAGTTTTCTTAGATGTGTCTTAGGCCCATGGAGGTTATAGTTGTTAAGCAAATTTGAATAACTTTTAAACAGGACAGTCTTATATACAAACTAGATGTAATTTGCTCATCTTGAAAGGAATATCTAAAGCAGCTAAGTATGGGGAGTGTTGCTTCATTGATGTTTTATACTAACAGCATGTGTAGGTAATAATAAACCCTTGTGTTGCCATAGAATAAAGACTCTGCATCAGTGGAACCTCGTAAGCCATGAGCATTTTCGCACACTAGTATATTTGGATAGTAAAGAATGTTAGCTAAGGTCATCTTGAAGGGCTGCTCTTGAAGAGAGGCTCAGAGAATTGGGGTGGTTAAATTTGGAGAAGAGAAGGCTCTGGGGAGACCTTGTAATAGTCTTCTGGTACATAAAGGGAGCCTACAGAAAACCTGGAGAAGGATTTTACAAGGGCATGTCATGACAGGAGAAGGGGGAATGTGTTTAAACTGATAAAGGGGAGATGTAGATTGGATATTAAGAAAAAAATACTTACTATGAGGGTGGTGAGACCCTAACACAGGTTGCCCAGAGAAGTTGTGGCTGCCCCATCCCTGGCAGTGTTCAAGGCCGGGTTGGATGGGGCTTTGAGCAGCCTTGTCTAGTGGAAGGTGGCCCTGCCTGTGGCAGGGGGTTGGAACTCCATGATCTTTAAGGTCCTGTCACACCCAAGCCATGATAGGATTGTATGATTCTCTACTGGAAACTAGTAATAAAGGTGCTAACGCTTTACTCTTCATTTGTGTTTTGCACTTACACTTGTTTCTCAGATTGTACCTTGCTTTCCTTTGCAATAGTCATATACATTATTTATGCTTTTTTAAATGTTTATTTCATGAGCTAAACTTTCTTTAATAGGTGACAAGAAGGAGAAGAAACAGCAGCCAGCTGCTGGAAGTAGTGATGCAAAACCTGTAGATGTTTCTCGACTGGATCTTCGTGTTGGCTGCATTATCAATGCCAAAAAGCATCCAGATGCAGACACTCTGTATGTCGAAGAAGTGGATGTTGGTGAAGCAAGCCCAAGGACTGTTGTCAGCGGTTTAGTGAAACATGTTTCTCTGGATCAGGTATTGACAAAATTATTTACTGATATCTTTTCCATTCCTCAAGTATCTCAAGAGCTTCATAAACATGTTGTTTATAGGATGTGTTTCATCTGCTAAAAGATTTTTGTGGTCATAAAAACAAAAGTGAAATGCAAACGCAAGTAACGCTGAACAACATTTGCCAGAAAACAGAGGAGTACTCTTCCCCTTGATCAGTTCCTTTCTGCTTCCGTCCTGGGATCATGTCCTGACTCCTCTGTGATGCCGTTAATACACAGTGGGCTCCTAAACCAAACAGATGTGACTCTCCCTTTAGGTTTCCTAGTATGTAATAGAGAACCCATAATAAATTATTTTGCTATCAGCCAAACTTTTGAAACCTTTGCCATCCAACTTTCTTCATAGCCTGTTGAAGTGTTTGGCATGCAGTAAAGCAAAGCGCATGTAAATTTGACTTAGATGGTAGTGAGTGGCTTAAACAACAGGAATTCAAAAATGTGTATTTTTACTTTCTTGTCCAGAATAGGGTCTGCCTCTCTGCTTTTTTTAGTAGATACATTTTGTGTTTCTGTATGTCTTGGGAACAATCTAATACTTCAAGATTACATTTTCCTTTTAGAGAAACCTTCCTTCTAAAGGGTTCATGGAAGGCAGGAATTTACTGAAGGCTGCTTTTAAATTCAAATACAGTCTTGGCAGTTAAAGTGATTTTGTATAGATCAACTGTGGAACGGGTCATGAAGTAATTGATCTTAGTGTGGAAAAGCAGCATTTTCTCAGGTGGCTTTTCAGTCCTTATTAATGCCATGTCCCTGTGTTAAGACTGCAAGTACAGAAAGCAATTAAAATTGTGATTGTTGTTATGATGCAGAAAGTTACTGAACTGAAAAAAAAATAGTAAATACACTAATTGTTCTGTGCTGACACCTGATAATGTCCCGTTACTAGATTTGCAGTGGACAGAAATTCAAATTGCTAGCAGTCAACTCTCAAGTTGTAAGTCAACTCTCAAAGTATGTATGTAGAAAAACATCTTTAAAGCCTGTCTAAATAAACTTGGGAACATGAAGTGTATAGAATACAGTGGCAGTACCAGTCTTTTCTTTTGAACCTGCTTTCTGTCTGGAAAAAATAATCCAAAGTACTCATTAAAAAAGAATTAGGGATCATTTTTGCACGTTCTTTGGGAACAGCTAGTTTGTGTGTCAGGGTTTGGTTTTCGGCAAGTCTGTATTAGAGAGTAAATTCTTAGGGGCAAATTTCCATCTTTTGTGGTTTTTTTAAGTGTTCAAAGACGTGAAGGCCTGCCATGAAACTACGTACAGATTTTTATATAAATATGTCAGTCAGATCAAGGGCTAGGGGTGTAATTCACAAAAAAAAATCAGCTATTTATGATTGATGTAATTTAGCAGTGTTTGTTGTATTTGTACCATCTGATTTTACTTTTGGTTAAGAAGCACAATGTATATCTTCATTAACATTTTGGTATGCAGTGCAAGTTATTTAGGGGTGTGAAAACTTCTTGCATGCCTACTTCATGTGTCGTACATTCTGCTTTTGTGCACCACTGCTGGTGGTGAAGCCAAGTCAAAAGTTGCAGTCCCAAGTATCTCTTGTACAGATGGTAACAGGGATATGGAACTGAAGCACAAGATGGACCATGCTAATACTGGCTCTTTCAGCAGCAGCTGACAACAACTGGAGGACATTCTGAAATGCCAGCAGGAATAGACAGCTTTTCTGTCACTGCATCTGGCTTTTTGAAGTGGATCTCTGTGTGCTCCTAGCATCAATACCCGTCTCGGGCAATTATTCTTGAAGTACAGACCATTCTCAAGTATTGCTTTTTTTTCTCCCCTGAAATCCCCTTTAACCTAGGAGATGCTCATGTCAGTGTTCTGAAATGAAGGATGAGAATGCAGGGCATGTATCTTAAAACCTAGCAAGAAGAGAAGAGGTCATCATCAGAAACGCTATCGTGCAACCATTCTTTGTGAGAGAATGCATTACAGCTATATCTGTTAGGAACTGTATAGTCTCATTTTTACACAATAAACTTTTCCTTTCTTTTTAAATTGGCTTAATGTTTTTTTCTTTCTAGAGCATTATTTAAGGGTTAATGTTGTCCACCCAGGAATTAGCAAATGGTACTGGAATTTACATTTATTTTTCTTAGATAGAGTGGTAATTATGTTCTTTGTACATACTCTTGACCTTCTGATTTTCCTTGTCTAGTCTGCATGGAAAACATTTTTCTATAAATTAGAAAGAACCGTGGCTACAGCATGATTGTAAACATATTGACACATTCTGTGTAATAGAAGACACCTTTCTTAAACCATTTTTCCTCTGTTTTTGTGGCATTAGGCTTCAAGTATATTAAATGCTACTGTGTTTCTTTTCAGATATGAAACAAATAGAAATCTGTGTAACCAAGCTTCTTACTTTTGCTGGCAAAATTAAATTTCCTGGAAAATTTAAGATGCAGGCAAGCATGTAATAGATTAAGGAGGGCTTTTTGTTGGTGTTAGCATTGCAGCTTGCTCTAGTTTTAAAGCAATCAGTGTGTTGGTTTTAACTCTTATTTACTAGCCATTGCAGTCTGGCACACTGTCTGATCTTGAGATAGAGAAGGATAGCTACCCGATTAACAAGTTAGACGGGTATGGGTAAAGTCTTGGGGTTTGTGTATGGTAAACTTCAGGATTAACTTTTCCTTGGTTTAGTTCCTGTGCTTCATTCATGTTGGGAAACTGCATTATTTTATTCTGAATGTGAAGTAGCTGTGCGTACAACCTTAGAAACTGTCACAACTAACATATTTGCCGAAAGTAAATGAGTTTATCACTAGTTGTCAGTTTTGGAGTTCCTGGATTTCTGAAACAAAAGGCTCTTTGGAAGGCCAACAGTGATTGTTACTATTTCTTCAAGGAGATAACATTTGAATATCCTTTGCTGAGTCTCAGGTCATTTATGTATCAAACATGTCCTGAGCTATCAAAGCCTTATCAGTTCCCTGTAGACAAAGACTCGCTTCTATTTGTTTCCTTTTAAGTGTAGAGATTTACCCTATAGTTTTACTTTACTGGATAATAAGAGATATGCAGAAGGAAGCACACTATCTGTGTCACCTTCAGCTGCTTTCAGTAACTCCCTGTATTTCTGATAGAACTTTTCACATAATGGGAGTCAGATTTCTTTATTTTTTTTTCTGCCCAATCTTATCTATCTGTCAGGAAACTCCCAAATTTACTTTTACACTTAGCTTTGAAAAACTAGGTTGCTTATATGTTCCTCTAATTTTTGTGGTTACAGAGAGTGGTCATCAGTAGAATTACAGGATATGACCCTTTGTAGCTGTTGCTTTTCAGGGTTTAACTTATCATTTACTGTATAAAGATCTCCTAAGAGCAGTGCAGATAGAATGACACCCAAACATCAGCTTCCTTGACAGAAGGAATGCCTGAACACAGAGCTGTTGTTATTGTAATCAATCCTGTGTTTTCTGGAAACCCACAACAACCGAAAACTTTTGCAGTCAGGAAGCACTTGTTCAGGTCAAGTTTCTTTTTTTCTCTGTTCTTAAGGAATTGTCATTTATCTGAAGACAGGCTTAAAAATTGAGCCATTTATAATAAAGAGCAAAAAACCACCCTTCAAATAGCAGAGTTATGTTTTTGGCTGACCATCTTGGGGTGGGATTTTCTTTTTGTTTTATAAAAATTAACCTTGTGGGTTTTTTACCATTAATTTGTGAAATCAATGTGAATCTTAGTTTAGAGCAGTTTTTCAAAAGCATTTGAGGTAAAAGTGATGGAATAATGTGTATCTTTGAAATGTTTATAAATACTTCTTAATTTTGTAATAGTAATCTATTTCTCATACAAAAATATCATGCAATATATATAAACATTTGGGCCACTGATTGGAGAGGAGGGAGTGATGTGATGCTAGTGTTTTTTTTTCTCATGTTAGTTTGCTGAAGATGATGATCTCCATTTCTGTATTAATAGTCTGGTTTTGTTAGTTGTATAATCTGTAATAAAAAAGCAATGCTCTGAATTCTGAATTTTTTTCCAATTAGTCAAAACTAAAGTTGAGTACCAAATGCAGAAATCTTGTTTCTTCTACTCTATTTATCTATTTGCCAATTTTTATTCAGTGATAGATAATATCTACAATTTGCACTTCAGTGTCGCTGGCATCTTACAGCCATTTCTTGTGTAGCAGTAATTTAAGAAAGTTTCAGTCAATGGGCTTCCTTAAAGTTTATGCAAGATCAGCTTGTTATTGTAACTGTTTCATTTTGGATATTGATATTTTTTCTTTTAAATTGTTTTACTTTGAAAATATGGTATAATCAGAATACTTAATAAAACACAATATGATCAAGTATTAATATTGCAGGGTTTTTTTTTTAACTTTCATTTTGTAATGCAGAAAGACCAAAATCGAGAAATAGATCTTTAGTAAGAGTGTGGGCATTAAGGCTTCTTACTTTCTGTCTCTCTCTAAATTTTTTATTTAATTTTTATTGAAAACGTGTTGTTTTTTAGGCCTAAGTGTGGCAGTTTCCCCTAACCAAGTATGTTTTCCCTGGTTTATTATTTTTATTAAAATAAAACAGTAAAGGAAGATAACTAGTGTTACAGTTTTAACAAATTGCAGTGCACAGTATACGCAGCCATATTTAATGGCTAAAAAAGTAATTCAAACCATTTGGGTTAAACAAGTAATATTTAAGATTCAAGTGAACTGATTATGTGAAACACCTGTATGTTTCCAGTACACACTTTGAAATTTTTAACTGTGAGCTAGCCTAATTTGTAGGATGGGTTTTGGTGTTGTTTTTTTTGGTTGTCCGTTTGTTTGTTGGGTTGTTTTTTTTCACTATTAATATTAAATGGAAATTGCTTGGTTGATTTTCCTATATTGAAAGTAGACTGAAGTGATGATCTAGAACGAGTAAAGATGGAATGTGGGTGAAATGCATTGCCTGGTTTGGGGATTTCTGAACTGCATGTTTTGTATTTCCATAAGTATGTCACAATTCAGCAATTACTCCATTATTCCCTGGCCAACTCTCAAGCGGTTTAATTGTTGTTACTGGTGTCCAGGCATTAAAACTGTACATCTGTTTCTGTGTTTGTTGTCCATATTAACGTATCTTCATTGTGGTTCTTTTGCTGTAATGAAATATTTGGAATCTCCAAAAGCATATGGCATTTAACTTCTCACATCCTTCCGTTTTCTTCCCCAAGATGCAGAATCGAATGGCAATACTACTCTGTAACTTGAAGCCTGCAAAGATGAGAGGAGTAGTATCTCAGGCAATGGTGATGTGTGCCAGCTCCCCAGAAAAAGTGGAAATTCTGGCTCCCCCACCCGGGGCAGTACCTGGAGATAGAATCACTTTTGATGGTTTTCCTGGTAAGTAGGTATCTGGGAAAGTGGAGAAAATGGCTGACCTCAGTGCTGAAGCAGATAAAATAGTATTTTAAAGCTGGTTGCATTTTTTTTTTGTTGTTGAAGTTTTCTGGTTTAGTTATATTCAAACTATTTTATTATTAGCATACTAATATTGTACAAATAAAGGATTGCAAATAGTCACCTGGGGGGTTTGGTTTGGTTTTAATTTCTTTTAGCTAGAGACTAAGGTTTTATGCTACTTACCTTTTTGTCCAAGTAATTATCAACTTCTGATCAGTTTGATATCTCCTTGAAGGCAGTCTAGCACTTCATAGTACTGTAATGAGGCGGGTAAAATCCTTGCTATGTCAGATGTCATTTAATTTCAGTATTTGTAATTAAACATTTACATTCTGATCAAGTTATTTTAAAGCATAAAGGTTCGAGTCCTTGAAATTAAAATTGAAAGGACAGCTGGGTCTTATTTTAGTTTGAAGTATGAAAGCCTATGAAGCAACAGAAGCAGCAGCAGCAACAATAAAGCAACTCTAAAACATATGCAGCTGTCCATCAAGCAGCCTGGAGTCAAGTTATTTTTAAGCCTTCTCTTTCTACCATAAAAAAGTATTCATGAGATACAGGCTAATATTCCTTGGTCCTTTTAGTCAAAGTAAACACATGGCGTCTTGATTCAAAGCAATTGGACTTTTTTCTGCAGACTTGAAGGTTTTCCTAGAACTATCTTGAGTATCATAGGGAAATGATTTGGTAAGGAATGCCGTTGTCTGGAGGAGTCTTCCTTTCTGTTTGTTTTATGTTATTGCCCTTAAGTGGACTTGACACTGTTGTATACTCCAATACATGAATCTTCAAGATCTGTTGGACTTTTTGTTGTATTAAGAACTTCACCAAATTTCTGTCCTCCTTCAGTGGTCCAATTTATGAGCCACTGAAAAATTATTCCATTATATGTCTGTAAACACTACACCCTCCCACACAGTAACTGCTGTAAGGCAGCAATAATTCTTGGAGATTTCACAGCTAACTGGCAAATCTGCTTTCTAATAGCAGTATAACTGACACTTTGACAAAACTCTTCAATGCAAAAATGTCACAGGACTCATATATCTGTTACTTATTTATGTAATAAAGTAATGATTCTGGTCTAAGAAACCTTGGCAATTTAGTAATAATTATCTCTTTAAAAAAATAGAAAGTGCTAGAAGTGGAGTGCAGTGGTTAGTCTGTATTTAACAGGTTTCTTTAATTAAAGCTTTGGAGGACAGATGCTTTCCTTCAGTTGTATAGTTGTAACACACAGCAGCTAAGTGGTATTAATTTTTCATAAGGTCACATACATCACCCCAACTTTTTGCCCCTTCTTACACATTCTTTCAGTACTTATTGAGCTGTTACAAAGCAGAGAGGTTTCTTGTTTATTATGGGAAATTCTTCTGTAATATTTAAACTGCCAAACTGAATGACGTGTAACAAAATTTGCGACCTCTTATTTGTTTCTTTTTGTGTAAAGAGAGTGAGAAGCTTGTTAAGCCTGTACAAATTTAAATTTAGTTATGGAAACCCTTCTAAAGAATATTTTCTGGGAAGAAGGAATGCAATGAGGAGAATTCATAGTCAAATGCACAGCCTAAAGCTCTGGTAATATTTAAAATTGGTGCCTATGCTAATCTAATATGAGCTCACCACAGATCCCAAGGGAGCTTGACAGAGGATTCCAATGAAACATCCAAAGCATGGTTTATATAATAAAAGTCAGGGTTCTTTTCTTACTAAAAAAATTTGCTTGCTTTTTATATTTAAGGAGGGGGAAAGAAATGCACAGATCATTTGACATTCTGTTTAATGATTTTATTAGTTTGTATGCATTCACTTTAGTCTAAGTCCAAGTCTGTCTTTGCTTATGAACTTGAGCATTAAGCAGGATTTTTACTTTTGTTAAAATGCACAGTTAGCTCTAAATGTTTAATTTACTAATGGTATTACTGATTTTTCTTTTAAATATTAATTTCACTGTGGTTGTGAAATAACTCAGCTGCATTATTGAATTTTGCTCTAGCAAGGCTAGCCTACTTAACGGAGAAATCTGGCCTGGTCTACTTCTCTTACACAGTTACAGATATAGAAGTTACAGAATTTAGACCTCTCTACAGGCAGAAGTAACTTACTTTTGGAAGCATTGAGAATGAGTAGATTGAATCATTGAAAATATCTGAAGGAGAAAAACAATAACACAGGAGGAATGAGAGTAGTTCATTTGACTGCCTGTGGTCATCCAGTCCGGAATACACCAAGCAATAATGAACTTCAAACAGCTACTGGAAACACATACATTGAAGTCCATGTAGCCTTATAGTTGGCTTGTGGTCATTAGAGATTCTTAAATAATTAGATTTGGTAATGTAGTTAGACTGTCGATACCTCTAGGGGCTCTGTAGCTTACCAGGGTGTGTACACAGCAACAGGGAACTGAAACTTGCAGAGACTGAGGCCATAATTGCTGAAATACAAGCTGATTGCTAATGCTGTTATTTTAAGCACCATCAAATAGTACAAAAAGAAGAACAGTGTTGAAACTCGGGGCTAAGATTTTGCGTCAGTATCCTAATTTTGGACTATTTTTGACAAAGTTCAATATTTCTCAACTGTAAGGGCACCTGCCAAATGCACTTAAATATTAATTTAAGATGTTGACAAACCTGTGTCAACACAGGTGAGTAGTATATTTCTATGGTCCACATCTACTTAATTCTTAGGAACCCTTTGGTCTCTAGTGAATTGTGTAAATCAACAGCCAGCAATGATTTTTTTTCTTCTTTTTGACAGTATTTGTAGTCTGTTACTTAAAACCTTTCTTCCCCCTGAAAAAGCAGCATTTTGAGACATGTTCTGGAGATATTTCCTAGAATATCCCTAGTTCCAGTTAAAAGTATTCATTCTGAGAATTGTTGGTAATGTTTGTGGGTTCCCTCTGGCCCTGTTCCCCATCCCCCCCCCCCCCCCCCCCCCAAAAAAAAGTGTAGGTGGTGAAGTTATGTACACATCTGTGACAGCCTGCATAAATAGATCTTTTGCTCTGCCTTCTGTGTTGTGTGCTATTAGGTTATTCTTTGTTTTGAAACAGGAGATCCTGAGAAGGAACTTAATCCCAAGAAGAAGATTTGGGAGCAGATTCAACCTGATCTTCATACCAATGACCAGTGTGTTGCTACATACAAAGGAGTTCCTTTTGAAGTGAAAGGAAAAGGAGTCTGCAGGGCAGAGACCATGGCAAACAGCGGAATTAAATAAATAAATGGTTGTTAGAAACTTTTTTTAGATGTTGAGATGGAAAGTAATGCAAGCACAATAAAAAACATGAAATGCATGGCTAATACCCTTTTTGTTTGACTGCTCTTCCAGAGGGTACAGAATGTGTTATGCTTCAACACTTTCACACTTCACACATTCACCATGCTTACTGTCCTTGAGGTTAAGTATTGTCAACGGTCATTAACCACTCAGTGCTCAAGACTTCATTGACAAGGCTTGTTCATGGTAGAAATACAGGTAGGCAAGCATATTTTCTGGACAGCTAAAAGGTTTAGATGCTCTATGGAGCAAGAGCATCTCAATAAGGAAAAATTTCTGCCATCTTCCTTTTGTGCTAACTGTTCTCCAAGAGGTGCAGGACTAGCAGTTGGTCAGTAAAGACCATGGTTATCTTCATTCTTCTTGTTACCTTTTAATAGTTTTTCTCGTCTTTATATAAGCAGTTTTCACATATATTATAAACTTCTGCAAATTTGTTCTTGGCTGTGTTGTCTCAGTAGTCTGCAGACAGTTGTAAGGGGAAGATTAAACTATGACCCTTTGTGCCCTAAATAGACAAATAGGTGTAATTTCTTGTCCCACAATTAAGTTACCATGTTAGTAAGATCAAAACTGTCATTTTGCTATAACAGTTATTTATCTATCTAGTCCATTTTCATATTTCCTTCCAAAAGAATGAAGAGCAGATGGACTGCCAGAGCTAGTCAAACACTATCATAAAAATATCTGTTTCCAGTGCCCCGACAGGTATAAAATGAGTTGAATTTTTTTAGGTTTGTTTTGTTTTAATGTGTTTTTACTCAGTGATATTTTATAAAATATATATATATGTGTATATATATATAAATTATTTATAAAACAGAAATAGTTTCTTCAGTTGTTACTATTAGAATTATTCCATAATAATGTAGTACAAGTAGCCATTGTTGCTGTGGTAATAGCCTCAAATTGCTTCTTTTAATTCCTGCCTTTTAATAATCTGAAAATAACTATTTTAGATCAATTTACAATAAACTTTTGAAGTAAATCTTTAGAGATAGTTCAGATACTTTGGCATGTAATATTTAATTAACTGCTTACTGTCTAACCACTGAAACAGTAAGTGCTTTTTTAACCACTGAAATAAAAAACATATAGCCACTCTGATTTTGTAGGCTTTGAACTTCATCCAGTAAACTGGTTGGTAAAACAAAATGACAATAACTTAAAAGGAACAGGCACAAAAGAAGAGATGAATGGTTTTATTTTTCAGATGATTTTTGTATGTGCCTGTAAACTGTATTAATTTTTCATGCATCGGGGAATAAGCAAGAGTATTGGTTCTTTAAATGTGCTGAATAGTCTTAAGCACATAGGAGCTATTTTATCTGCTGTGTAAACTACATAGCCAGTAATGTCGTATTAAACAAACTTCTTGGAGTTCAGAATCTCAATTCTAACTAGTTCTTACTCAGGGTAAAGAAGTACTTTTACAGTATTTAAAACTTAGCATTTAATACTTGAAAGCTCTTCACAAACTTTGGAATTCAGAGAAACTCCTGAAAACTTGAAGAAGCAGTCTGAATGTTCATTTTTAACTTTTATTTTCCAGATCAGTGTTCTGTAAGAACTGCAGTATATAGTTTGGTGGAGAATAAAATCTGATTTGTGACTACATGTATATTAGGACTGTGATTTAGAGCACTAGCTTGTTTGAATTTTGTGTTTGAAGCTACGATTGTGGATGCACTAGTGTGAGGTACTCTGAAGGACAAGTAGTTTGGTAATCTAAGGAGACATCTCCAGCTGTTCAGAGGTATTTTATATGGGTGTTGGCTTTTCCAGTTCCAGTACCTGCTATAGCAAATAGACAAATGAGCACCTGAAAGCTAATTTTATGCTTTGTTATGTTTAAGTGGAAGCTTTTGATAATTATTTTGTTTTATAAAATTCAAGAGCTTTCTTAAGACAGTAGCTCTTTCCTCTTTAATTATGCTCTTATGGTTGTCTAGGAAGAGGTATTTATGCTGTACTGAGCTCAAAAGTGACAACAGGGTACTTGAGGCACTGTGCAAGTATTCTTCCTCGCTGAATCCAGCCTCTTCTGCCTTGTCTGCATGAGTAAGTAGAACTGCAGTGAAATCATTCCATGTGGGACCCAGAAGTTCCTGTAATAAAAAAACAAATCCTAAATAGTTATCTTTCCTTGTTCCTCTTACCCACTGCCACCTCATATACTTCGGCATTAACAGACCAGCTACATGTTCTTTTCCTGGCAGTAATCCAGTTCATGCTATCTGAGTTGCTGAAATTTTTTGGGTTTTTTCACCTTCCCAAGACGTTGACATCCATTTTAAGTAGAAATATGTGTTTGTGCAGTGCTAGCAGTTCTTTGTTCTCTTGCTACAGATGTGAATAATATTTCTCCAGTTAAAAAATGTCTATGTAAATAAGGAAAAATGGTTGTTTAGCTGTGTCACACATTTGTTTAAATCTTTAGTTTCCTCATATCCATATTTCTACAGTTTTTACAGGTATTTGAAATTTGCGTTTCAAAATCACCAAATTACCTTGTGTTGAAAAAATAAATGATGAATTTATACATAGGACCAACTGCAGTTCCAGCTGCATCCTGTAAAATTGAACTATTCTCAGCAATTCAGGACAATCACAAATCAAATGCATCAATCTGAGCTGTGGGCCAGAGAATTTGTCTAACCACTGTGGTTCATCTGATGGAGGGGAATGGAGAAAACAAGCTGCTTTTTGCAATGAGTATAGAAAATTTTAATGGCAATAAGTGCTCAGGCTTTCATTTGCGGACGTAAATGAAATTACAACTTCAGTGCAATCATGCTAACGCCCATGTGTGACAAGGAACCTACTTGGAATAAAGTCCACTTTGCAAAGGTCTTAACTGTAGCCTAAATACCAAGGTGCATAAAACTGATTTAAAGTATACCTTTCTACTTCCAGGGTAAGCAGGGAGTTAGAAAAAACTGTGTATTGATAGTGATTAATCTGTTTTAGACACTAGGGTAAAAAAAAAATTGTACCCACACAAATTTTTGAGGTAAGCTGTCTAAGGATGTGTTGCGTTATCAGTTTTGGAAAGAAAGGATAGTGCCTTGATTTGCTGAGGACTCACACTCAATGCTAATGTTCTGAAGTCAGTATCCACCACTCTGAATTCATTAGGCTGTGTTATCTTCACTGATACGCCATCTGTAATTTGCAGCGGAACGTTGTGAAAACTCCTGATTGCTAAAGGTACTCTTCAGGCTAATGTCTTTTTGGAATGACATACTGAAACATAACCAATAAAAGTACAGAGTTCCTATTCCCGACATCCAGGCAGCTGCCCTGCCCTGGTTGTGGCTGAGGAAATCACAGCATCTGGTCTGCTAAGTGGAAAGTAACTAAAAAGCTGACCATTATATGTGCTGAGAGCAAGCTGTAATCATGAAACAGAAGTGTTGCTTTATCATCATTTTTAAACATGCTTTCTTTCCAGTATGGGTTTTAAGGGTCCGTTTAAAGAGAAAAGGCATAGTGGCATCTCTTATGCTTTTAATGCCCACATGGACTTGATCCAGAACAGTCTGAAACTGAGGAACATGATGATTTTTCATTGGCTTAGAGTAAAAATAGTTTGAGTAAATGCTGCTCTTTAATACCATGAAGTACAGAGAGATGGAGAACTGTATAAGGGAAAAGAGTAACACTGAAAACAAGTATATGTAAACAGATAATGAGTAAGAGTGTTGAAATTAGAACCAACTCTCAAACTACTGGAAAAGTGAGGAGTAGCCTACCAATAAAGAGTAATCAGAAAGTAACAGAAGAGCAAATCGAAACACTTGAAAGCGGTTTTTCTATGTCTATATGTATATGTTGATATATTTTTAACTACATATATATGTTATAGATGTATTTAGGTAATACCAGTTACAGCGGGTGATAAGATTTGATGAACCAGAAAGTCCTTTTCGTCCTAAAGATGTTTATAAAGTTTGTTAGTGTAAGACAGATGCAAAGCATAATGTGACTTTGGCAACAACTGAAACCCTTTCTGTTGTCATTAATAGTCCAAAAGTAGTTCATCTGATCAGATAGATAAGCTGAGCACTATCTATTTGTTGGCATCTTTTTTCGTTTATGAATAAATTCATGGTAACTTTCTAGTTGTTCTGTCTTACAGATACAGCAGTAGTGACAGTGCAGGACAGAGCTGAGCATCCTTGTGTCAGGTCAGTCAGATTTTCTGTGGGATTTTGGACCTGTTGCTCCGTTTTGTCTACAGAGAGTGCAGGAGGGTGAGGTAACCTGATTTTTGCTTTCTTTAAAAGCTTTTCAATCAGCTAGAACTTTCATGATAAAGTTTTAACTGATTGCTGAGAGAAAAACTTTCTTTGAAAAGTAAAAAAGCCCATGCACAAGGAGAACAGTTTTGGCCTCTCTATTTCCAGTGTTAGTGTGGTAAGTGTAGCTGTGGTGTTGGGAGTTGTGAATGCTGTTTCAGGAAATGTTTTCAGCTGCACTTCTGTATTTCACTTTTGCAGTCAACTCTTTCCTAGCTATTGCCACCTCAAGATAGAAGAGTTGCCATTAGGGCAGTGACTATTAATTTGTTACCTGGATGAACTGAGTTGTATGATAGCTTTCATCCGGACACAGAGGCAAGTCAGCCCTGAGGACCAAGAGAGCGAGATGCAGGCCTTCCTCCCCGAAGTGGTGAGCCAGGGCTGAGCTCACTCTGTCTCTCACCTGCTCTTTGCTCAGACTACTGTGAGGGTAGCCTGGAGTGTCAAGTACTCGAACACGGAGAGCTAGCTCACTGCCATTTCTACGTATAATTCCCAAAATACAGCAGCTGCGGCCAAGGCTGCAGCATGTAGTCACAGATCTTGGAGAGCAATAATTCTTAAAGTCTGAGCTGCCCAGCAGGCTGTTCCCAGCAGCACTTTTACCACTCTGAGTTCTTCCAAGGACAAGAAGGTTGATGGTCATCTCATTGCTGCCTGGCATTTTCTGTGCTTTTATCCCCAAACCTGTCATTAGGTGAAGAACAAATAACATGAGCTGTTTCAGAAGATCCAGAAAAAAAATGCAAAATTCAGTATCTTTTGAGTGTCATGCCCTGCTTGAAATGTTTAAGGAGTGTGTGGTGTAGCTAGACATGAAGTACAGCACGTATACCTCTGCCTGATCCAAAGACAGCTCTTTGCTGCCCTTCTTAGTCTGCTTCTTAAAAATAACAAGACCCCACAGAAGGTGTCACAGGTACAAGAGCAACCTAACAGGCTGCGCGCATACACTTGCAGAAACTGAAGAGCTGGGAAACAATTGGGTGTGAGAAGTGTTTGGGGAACAAGCAAAGCAGATAAAGCTAAGGAAGAGCAACAGGAAGGAAGGACTTAGGAAACAACCATGGAAAACAGGATCAGCATGCAGATAGAGTTGGTAATGAAAAGGAGGAAAGCTAGGGGAGGAAGGAGAGAATGGTGACATCTGCTGCTGTTATTAAGTGACCGTGTTTCAAGAAGTAAATCTTTACTTAGTTTTTAGGAAAAAAATTGGATAGTCAAGGAAGGAGCACTTTTTCACAGGAGAGAACAGCTTAGAGTATGTCTTTGATCAGCTACCACTGAATTTGAAATAGATGGTAATTTGAAAGTGCTTTCTGATGTAGATAAATGTTAGAAGTATGTCCTAATGAAAAGGCTGAAATACCAATGCTGCAGGTTCTAACCCCACATGAAATCAAGACTTTGCAACTGTACAGACCTCTAGACTTACAGTGCAGTCAGTGGAAAAGCGTAGACTGGTGGATGGGGATGAGTGATGGGTATAATTTCCAGTTACTGTAATTGTTTATAAATGCATACTCTTGTTCTCTTTGTACTTTTTTGTAATCTAGTATCTGAAGGGGTTTTGGTGCATGTTAATTGTCTAACAGGAATACTGACTGATTAAATAAATTCAGAGGTGTTTCTAATATGGAAAACTATTGGCAAAGAAGTAGTTGGTTTCAAGTTGTCAGTGGCACCTGAACTTGAGAAAGTTGGGGTTTTTTTGTTGGTGGTTTATTGTTTTGTTGTGGCGTTTGCTGTTTGTGGTTTGTTTTGTTTTTTTTTTTAACATGCTATGTTTAGGCACTCAAAGAGATCCTGAATAATTTTAGAATGGGATTTCATGTGATTAGTTTATTTAGATTCTTGCACATGCAGTTCCAGCTTTCTCCCTCATATTAAGCCCATGCCCAAATCAATCTTTCTGAAATAACTTCAGTACAAAGCCAAACATAAAAGAGCTGTTAACATACTAATTTTGTAGCATTATGATCTTTCCTACTGAATTCAAGTAAGGTTTTTGTGGATTTTTCAATGATCAATTTACTTTTTTTTTTTTTTTTTTACTAAGAATACCTTTTAAAAAAAGACACATTATGAAATGGTTGTCATCAGTTATTCATCAGTCTGGATATGCATTGTATTCTTTTTCTGTAGCATAGTAATATGACGTGGTGGTCATGCATGTTTTGTATTCCTTTTTTAAATCACAGAATCATAGAATCATCAACCAGATTGGAAAAGACTTTTAAGATCATCAAGTCCAACCATTCCCCAGCACTGTCAAAGCCACCCCTAACCCATGGCACTGAGGGCCTCATCTAAACAGTGTGTGAACACTTCCAGGGATTGTGACTTCACCACTGCCCTGGGCAGCCTGTTCCAATGCCTGAGCATCCTCTGGGAAAGGAATTGTTCCTCATCTCCATCTAAACCTCTCCTGGTGCATCTTGAGGCCATTTCCTCTTGTCCTGTCCCTTGTTCCTTGGGAGCAGAGACCAGCCCCCTCCTGGCCCCATCCTCCTGTGATCAAGGATTTATTTTTTTTTTCCAGTAAGCAGTCTATGCTTAAATAATGACATTAATTTCATATTATATCACTTACCTTATTTTCCCTTAAATTCCTTTTTCATTCAGACTTCACAAACCATGTGTGCAGTGTAAAAAGAAGTTCATATGTGAACTTTGAAACTAACAGCAGCAGTGTACCATGCTGAGACTGATACGTACACATTAACCTGGTTAATCTGTTACTAATAGATCTCCATTTAATAGGTTTGGTCAGTAATTGGCAATGATTTTTTGCAACTTAGCTGCAGATGCGTTTTTTGCAATCACTTTAGTGATTGTATGAAGTTGAATTTGAATTTTATTTTTTTTTAAGTTACTTTTGTTCTACCATCAGTTAAATGTGACAGTGGTAATGGAGGGTCAGGGATTATTTTGTGTTGCGTGTTCTTGAATGGGTGTTCATATATGCATGTGAAGAGCAGATGAACTTTCTCTTATAATTTCAATGAACTAATAATTGCAATATTTTCAAAGTACCATGTAAAGCATATGCAGATGTAAAGCTGTTTGCCTAACAAATACAGATTAAAATAATAAAAAAAAAATGGATTAAAATACAGAAATTATTTGTGAAATCTGGAAGAAGACTGAAGACTTGCACCACTGCCAGTCGTATGTGTTAGCTGTTGGTTTGTTAGCTTGAAACATTTGGCAGGGGTTTTGGGTCTAGATGATCTCAAGGTCCCTTCCAACCCAAACCATTCTGTGATTCCATGATTTCTCTTGCAAGTGTAATTCTTTGCCATGCTATAGTAGCATTAAAACCAGGGATAAAAAGGCTGTCCAGTAAGAACCTATCACTTGCATTTTAGACAATTTTGCACAAGGGGGAAAGTCATTGGTTTAAACTTCTATGCCTTAATGAAGAAATTAATACGAATTTGTGCATTAATTATCAGGTTGTAGCAATAAAATGAAAGATTGGAATAAGCCCTTGTCTGTTCACAAGGAAGGGTTTAGATAAACCTCCTCTCTGGCTCTAAATCCCAGATGGGTGGAAGCACATGTTTACTCCAGAGGTATTAAGGTATGCGCCATTACAGTAAGAACAGGAATCTGGTACTAGGCTGTCTGTGGTGGGAGGAAAAAAGGAAGGTGTTTTGATAGGCCAGTCCAGCTGGTGATACTGTCATCCAAAATGTAGTTCTCTGTGGGAACCGGTAAGTATTGGGTTACTGCAGTGCTAGGGCTGTTCCTGCCTGCCACAGCAGTGGAGAGAGACTTGAATTGCTCTAGAAGCCTGTTGTCTTCCGCTGTGTACCACAAGCACAGCTAGTGCTTTAGCAGGAGTTAATGGTGCCTTCACATCCTCCTTGTGTAAATTTGCATCATTCATCATGAAAGAATTCACTGGTTTTGTTACTTGGCTCCAGATGGATATGTAATAATTTTGTTGCTTGGTGGTTTTGACTACATTGATAGACAAGTTAGTTGTTTTCAGACAGTTTCCTGCTCTTGAGCTTCACCTGATGAGAGGTGAAACATTAAATCTTTTCCTGTATTGCATGTGTAGCCAAGGCAACTACTGATTGTTTCCACTGTGAAAAGGCTTGCGGCTCAATCCTGTGCACAGTCTTTGTGTATCAAGCCTATATTTATATATAAAGTAGCAAGGTTCCTTCATTTGCTAATGGACATGAACTCAAGGCTGAACGGAGGGTGACTTGTAAAGCAAAATGATAGGTCTTCCTCATAAACCTGTAGATAAAATCCACATGCTTTCTTTAATTTGCCTAGAAGTCTTGATTTTGGTTATATTGTCACAGTGTAGCTCTGTACTTTTTGTTGGACTGTTCCTATGCGCAGTAATGCCTTCTATGACATCTGAAGCAGAGGTATGTCCTAGCAGTCACATCCAACTGAGCTAATAGCCTGCCAAGGGGATAATTTGGCTGTGCCTGGACAAGGATTTAGACTACCAAGAAAGGTAGAATCCCAGAAGCAGACTGTTGTATGCAAAATATAGCTTGCTCAGTTGCATGCAGAACAGGACTTTTATGCTAAGAGAGATGGCTGTAAAATAAAGAGTACTGGAAATGAGGCACTGCTTAAATGATGGCTATAACTTGGCTAAGCACACGTCTCCACAGAAAAAGGCATTTCTTTAGAGCATTATTATGAATGTAATACAGTCCCAGTTGGGATGCATCTGGAAGATCTTACAACAGCACGGGCGGAAGATTTTAAGAAGCCTTTCTTGGGACTATATGACAAGGAAAAAAATCAAGCTGATTTATAGGACACTTGCTTAGGCTCCTTAACGTACGTGGAAAAAGTCTTCCCCAAGGTGGCAGTATCAGCCTGCACCACAGGTACTGTAAAACTCTGCTGGGGGCCCCCTGCTCGAGTCCGCTGCTGAAATACAATACCAGGTCAGAAATGAGCTAAAGCATCAGAAAATATAGAATAATTACAGGAGTCTTCAAGTGTGTCTTGAAATAAGAAATGTAAAAAGCATTTGTCTCTCCTTTGTCACAGGAAACATTTTTTATTTGATATGTAAAATGCAGACAGCGTAGCACCTCAACCAATTTGAGCAGCAGTAGTGGAAAGGTAGCAGGTAAGAAACTGGAAATGTTACTGTCCCTTATTTGATTGTTCTTCTAATCTAAACCTTTGTTTTCATTGGCTTTTGAGTTGGGGACATTTATTATGGGACTTTGGATATGAGATCATAAAATCTACTATCAGTATGAATTTGCAAAGAACAAGTACAGGGTACAAGATTGCTTTAGATGCTTTTTAGCGATGCTCACTGCCATTGGGTAAGCTTTTAATTTTGTTTTCTTTGTTTTTTATAACTTTATTATTGAAGTGGCAAAGAGAAAACCAAAACTGAGCCTATTACACATTGGCAGGCAGGAAGGCTTCCTGTAACTGATAAAGAAAGCCTTGTACTGCTCCCACAGAAATACCAAGCAAGTCTAGTGAGGAATTGTCAAGAAGCTAAGGTAGTAGGGCCCCTGAAAATAAGCAGCATGTGTATCCAGCTTCTTTAGTTGCCTTTGAAAAACTAAAGCTAAAATCATTTGCAAGTGCTTGTTGGATTTGTGTTTATCTAGAGTTAACTGCAATTGCAATGCATCTTAGTCGCATTACTGTGTCAGCTGCTGTTCTGTTGTAGTCCCTGTGATCACCCAGCTGGTTTGCATGCACCCTAAACAAGCTCTCTGTGATGCTTGTTAGGGTATACCAAGCAGGCTAGATCTTGTAAACTGAAATAGCATAGTTTCTCCTTAGGCACATGGCGTGTCTTACCATGTGTCATCTTTCAGTTCCCACGCCTTCCCTTCCCTTACAGCTTCTTTCCTGATGTGGGCTCTCATTTTAGTTCAAGATGATGCCATAATAAGTAATTTAAGATGTGCTTTGATGAATTTCTATTACTTAGAGAAAACCCAGTGAGGCCATTTTATGGATTGCCACACACAGAGGAAAGCTCTTAGCCTTCCCAAATAACATGAGAAATCCAGAAAGGTATGCAGTCCATGTAGTCAGTGTGGCTTCATTCTGTTAGATGTGTCATTTCTAAAACACATAAAGCACATCACTGATGAGAGATAGGACAGACAGATCTACTGAGGCTCTACTCCTTTTGGACTGTGTTCAAAACAAAAGTGTCTGTGGTGATCCTAAAGGAACACACACACAAAATACACTAATACTTTCTTAAAACAGACCTTTTTTTTCCTTCCCTTTGCTTAAACCAATCCCCAGCATCCTTAGTATTTTTTAACAAAAGTAAGCACTTACCATGTTTCTCTTTGCAGTGTAGATGGCTGTGTAGGTTATGTGCTACTACATTGGCATTGCTAAGGGGAAGGCAGGTGGGGTATAGCTCCAGGCTAATGCTTCAGTTGCATCAGCTGTCAGACAACTGGTCTGCTGGTACAATTGCGGAATCGGTTCCCTAGGCTCCCACTGTACTTCTCACACTGATACTGCTGGCAGAAAGACAGATCAAGGACCCACCTTGTGTTTACAAGGAGATTGAGCAGGACTATCAGCATAGTGATATCAGTCAGACATCCTCCTCCTCCCTCTCCCCCATTCACTCAGTCATCAAGATCCACAAGATACCCTTTTCCTTCATCCTCTGCAAATAATAGGCAACTTCATCCTCGAAACCAGTATCAGTACATGCTGATCTGGTAAGTCTGCTGTGGAAGTATTGTGTCTCTCCAGTTGGCACAAATGTTGTTCTTCGAAGCACTCTGCTTCAGAGTGCGCTAAGAACAGAGCACTGTAATAAGACACAAGAGCACAGTTTTTGTTTCCTGTTAGTGTGGTTTGGGGTGACCTGGCTTTTCAAAATGCTGGGGCATGCATTGTAAAATAGAGCACATCACACTGTCACAGCTTGCCAGTTTCTTAATTCCCTTACTAATTCAAACATTCTCCAATTTAAGTAATGATTTTCCCATATAATTTTTGGGGACATTTTTTTCTTTCTTTTTTTTTCTTTTTTTTTTTTTTTTTAATATATAAAGGATTTTTTTTAATATATTGTGCTATACTGTCTCTTGAGCAGATTAGAGATATTGAAACTATCTTATTTTCATCCATGTTGCCAGGATATGTTATTTCTAATATAGCGGTTGGGCATAAATCACTAGTGTGCAGGTTTAGCCATAGGACTGTGCTTCAGGTCTGACATATGCAAAATGTCCAAATAAAGCTGATATTGCAAGTAAGACTATACATACAAAAGTAACATAACCCCCGCCCCAATATCCCACCTCTCCCACCCTGAAGTCATAAACTTGATTTCAAAGGCATATATTTCAGAAAGAAACAATAATCAGAAAGTATGAAAATACAGACTTAAGGAAGAACCCTTTTTCCTTTATACGTACTTAGTTGGATGAACTCCGTGACTGGCATAATACTCATTCACCTTCTTCTGATTAGCCTCAAAATTCATCCATGTGTGTAAAAATATTTTGCATCTGGGGCAAAAGTCCTGTGAATGGCAAACATACCTGGAAGTTCAGGAAACCTAGATCTGGCTGCTGTTTCTGTAACACTCATTCCCTTATTCTGAGAAGCTGAGCAATTTCTCAGTTTCCTCATCTGAATAGTATGGGGAGTATTCACCTCTTTTGAAGATGTATAGTAGGATTGATTTAACTGAAGGGAAACC